CCGTTGCCGGACACGGAAAAAAGACAAAAAAAAAAAAAAAAAAGAAAATAGTTTACAAGTGAGTGAATGTTTGATACAATGGTTTAAACTTTCAAATACAAAAAAAAAAAAGTATATTTGCAATAGAGGGGCTGTGGAAAGCACTCTTAGGAAAGAGACACTTGATTTGTACAATGAAAGGGGAACCTGGCTCTTTCAAAGGGTAGAGAGCATGAAAAAGCAGGACAGAGGGCATCATAGGTTAGAGAGAGAAACTTCAAAGGCAAAAATGTGAACAACAGACACCACAAACAGCATTCCAGCCAGCCTGGCTTAAGTCTCAGCTTGGCAATAGGGTGGGATAAATTTGATTGTAGTCAATTTCAAACATTTGGAAAAGTAGAAAGAACAGTATAATGAATTTTCATCTACCATCATCCAACTACAAAAACTATCATGATGTAGCCAATCTCATTTTATCTTGCTTTATTTACTCCCACTCCCACTGCAGAATTTTCAAGAAAAACTCAGATAGGATTTTATTTTATCTAAGTATACTTCAGTAGAAGATGAGGACTTGTATTTTAAAATGAAATTACAAAAAAAAACTATAAAGATAGCCAGAAAAATAAGATAAAAGCCATAAGAATAAAATCTGAAGAACCTTGGTCCTGAGGACCCTGAGGACAATTTCCACGTTGTATGAAATAGACGATCAAGGTGCAGCAGGTCGGAAGCGCGAGAGTCTGAAAGCTGTGGTGACAGGTATGGCAAAGACATACCTCATGGTTATTAGATATTATCCCTTGTTACAATTGCTGACCTTTTTATTATCAATTACATCCTTACATGTGACCACCGACCAGTCAGGCAAGTCTCACTCAAGCTCCCCATCAATCTTCTCACCTGCATCAAAAAGTCCAGGGAAGAGTATCTTTTTAAATATCATGAGTAAGCTGCCTTTCCAACTGTAATTGTACATTATCTTTAACTATATTGGTCCTTTAATACCAGATTAAATGCTATTTCTCCAAAGAATTTTACCAATTATAAAATAAATTGCCCTCTTTCATGATGTGCAAATTATAAGATTTCTATTTGTATTACAATCTTCTATATATACATAAAATCTATAAAATATATAGATATAAATATAGAAGATCTATGTCTACATATATATGCACAAATGTAGATATATAGATTTATATACATACCCTGATATCCTGTCAAATTGTGGATTCTTTACAGGAAGAGGCCATACCCAACACCTGTATCCTAGAGTACCCAGCCTAGTGCCTTGCTCTTAGCTGTAGCTTAAGAAGAGTTTGTAAAATCACACTGGCCAAAAAAATTGTAAATCTTTGTGAAAGACTGACCTCCATGTGAGTTAGAATTAACTGTAAAACTACAATATTTTCATTAAAAATCTTGGATAGGGTAAAGCCCTCTGATTGCTGTCAATAACGCACATTGGTAGGAAGAGCACCCAACAAGAAATAAGCCTTCTACAAATATAACAAAAAGAGTGTCACTAGAAATTCAGTGAATAGCTTGAGCTACAGAATTCATCTCAGGAATCATTAAATGTATTAGTAATGATATGAAAAATGAGATTTGTGCTTCTAATTCTCCAGTGCATTAATTTTCTATTGGTAAAAATGGGGCTGAATACACAAAATAAAATCTGAGAACTTTCAGAAATAGAAAACTAATTTCGGGTATGTGCATAACACTGATAGGCACTATGAGAGGCACTAGAGAAGATAAAATTATTCATACTACATGGTCTCTGCCTTTTTATTGTTAGAAATATTTACTTTGAGTTATTGTAACTTACTTTAACTTTTATGTGTACCAAGATATGACTAACAAATTGAAATTTGTCAACGAATAGAATGAATTGTGCTATGTGATTATAAATCTTAAAGAATGTGTCCTCCAAGTATATTTCTTTTTTTTAAACTTCATATTTTTTTTACATTCTATGATGTTGTCACAGAACAGTTCAGAGGGAGGGGGAGAGGGGAAAAGGGAAGGAAATGGGATGGAAGGAGGAGGAAGAAGGAGGAAGGAGGAGGGGTGGGATTGAGGCCTGTGGCACCCCCTCATTCCCACAGGGGAGACCAGAGGGCTTCCAGTGGTGGCTTGGTCATTGCCGGGCTGGGTACAGATGTCAAGTGGGTGTGGCAACAGCCCCCGCCCCCCCACCACCCCAGCTGAGAAATCTGGGGCCCTTCTTGCTGAGGCTTGCTGGTTGTTGCTGGACTGGTTGCTCATGCAGGCGGGGTGTGGACGAGGCCCTGGGCCCCCTGCTGCCCCGGCTCAGGAGAACCCGGCACACCTCCTCAAGTATATATAGCAATTGGATTAATTTCTTCACATCATTTGGTCTTTTTTTCATGTGATACATTATCCTTATTAATTCCCTTCATGAAAAAGTAAAGATTATATTTTGACATGTAAGTATACAGGAGAAATGCGTCAGATATTACTTGAAAAATAATCATATCTTCTTCTCTCCCACCCATTAAAGTTTAACTTTTCTTATTTTTTGTAACACTGGATGAAAGCAACCATTTGTTCCATAATTCGTCTGTGGCAACTACAAGTGTTTCCACAGAGCCAAAGAGTTTCTCCAACTGAATGTTGAAATCTTAAGTAGCTGGAAGTATAATAAGTAAATAAATAAAATACTAATGTAGTTCCAGAAATGCTTGTAAGAAACATCTGATTGTTGAAATGTGTGCACAAAATGTATACAATACAGTGAAACTTTTAAAACTTTGGCTTAATAAAGCATAGAAGTTGACCTTCATTTACTTGAAATATGTTCTTTCCAGCATCGTCAAGCATTAATTAAAATTTATTAAGTAAATCTTTTGAGTGGATACAATAGTAACTTGATCATTTATTCTTTCTAAGAATAAACACAAATTTTAAAATAAGGTTTCACTTTGACTTTAAGAAATGATTGTGTGAAATTATGTTAAATTTGAAAGCAACTCAAAAATATATTACATTGGATTTGGAACTAAATCAATCATATTTCAGTAGCATTCAATAGTTAATAGAGGACAAATTACTAAAGACATGACAGCCCACCAAAATACCCTATATTGAATTTAAGCCTGAAACATTCTCCAGGTTTTTAAAAGTATTATAAATTAAAATATCCTACATTCACTGTTATTACCACCTTGAGCCATTTGGGAAATGGAAATCAATCCAAATGGTTTCTTCCTTCTGCGGGTTGAGATACTTTGAGATTTTCTCTCACTTGAAATCTAGCTGCCAAAGGACTCTCTACTGCATAAACTGAATATTTTCCTTTACATGGGCATTCCTGGCGTTGTGAATAAAAGAGAAGTGGACAGGGAGCGCTGTAGCAGTTCCTTCCAAGAGCTCACTGGGTTCCTAGCTCAGTGCCTGGGCAGGGCCCTTCTTAGAACCAACTTCAGGCTTTCCTTCCTGCACCACAGCAGGAGTCAGTGGCAACCAAAAGAGTCTTTTCCTCCTTCCTTTTGGCTCTGATTCAGTATAAAGATTCCTCAGCCAAGAACCTAAGAAGGCAGAATGAAATCAGGAAGCCTTCCTGGATCTCTGCCTCCAGCAGATGGTGCCAGCTGGACTGCCCTGGAGGGACAAATGTGTCCTGCAGAAGCCTTCAGTGGACGTGATTTGATTTAAGGCTATTGAAATTTCTTCTTGTAGAGTCTTCCAGGACAATTTACAAAAGAAAATATTTCCTATGTACTGGTTATGCTATTGGTGAATTATACACCATCTTGAATAGGGTCTGGAGTCTCATAAAATAGCATATGTGATATAACCCACAAAATTACTGTGTCACTGGGACAAATTTTTTGCACTCCCCATGCAAAAATACTAATTATTTCTAATTATATTCCAAAAATGTAAGGCAAGTCTTTAAATAATTACTCTAAATTAATTATCTCTTAGTAACTATGGGGGAGATATTTTGACGCAGTGGTTCTTAAATCAAGCAAATGTTACAGCTTTGCTATGTTATCTGGTAATCTTTATTTTATAAAGAAATTGAACAGGGACTGGCCAAGTTAGAGCATGGTGCTAATAACACCAGGGTTTGATCCTTGTACCAGCCAGCCACCAAAAAAAAAAAAAAAAAAAAAAAAAAAAAAAGAAGGAGAGAGAGAGAGAAATTGTGCAGAATGTTGTAAGACAGCTCAATCACCTTCCGTGATTATTTGACCAAAAGAAATGCATTTGGAAAGCCATTGTACCTTCCCAGGTAAAATCAAGTGCCAGTCACATTGTTTACATCTGCTATTTTTCCCTGTAAATTATTCAACTTAATCAGTTAATCCACAGATAATCTATTCTGTACCTACCTTGGACAAGCTTTAGGAAGCTTTTTTTTCTATTTGCAATAAAAATATTTTTAACCTTAGTTTCAGTTTGCAATATATAAATATGAAAGCTGAAAAATAGTAATGAAAATACTTTTAAATAAAAGCCCTTATTTTAGTTGTGTTATTCATGGGTAGAAAAAAAAATAAGACTAAGGGCTGCATTAAAATTTGGAACAAATAAAAGAACCATGTAGCTTATTTATGGAGGTGTGTCTCACTGTAAAGAATGGTCTTATTAATATGAAATAAGGCTGTTCAATTAGGTTTTTGTTATATAGACAAAGAAATTCACTTTAGAGTTTCTCAAAAAACAAGAAACCCCTGAAATGAAAGTTACTGATCTACAAGTGTTTAGGAGCACATGTAAAAGGAGGTACGTAATCTACATTTGAATACTTTGTAAACATGTTTCTCCATATATTTAAAGAACTAATTATAAATTAGTAATTAAAACTAATTACTAATTATAGAAGAATAATTACTAAAGAAAAACATTGGGAATTTTGATAACTACCTTCTCTCCAAGCACTACATGTCCTACCACTCTTAGCATTCAATGTTGACTTTTTCCCGGGTGAAAAGGGCTCAGAAAAATCTGTTAAAGGGTTAGTATCCCGTGGCAGAAAGTAGTTCTCAGGGAGAGCTGTTCAGAAATTATAACCTGCAGGCAAATCATTTTCAGAAAGAATTTTAACTCTTGAGTTGAACCCTTAGCAAAAGAGGTAAATCTGAAGTTATTAAATCAAATAGCTAATGGAGAAATGCTCAGAGCTTAGAGTATTTTTGACGAGAAAAGGGACCATAGGGAACTGTTGTAAATTGACCAAAAAACTGCTACCTCATCTGAGGGAGGTGGTATTATTTTGTTCCACTGTCAAATGGGATTTGCTCACAGTTGTTACTTTTTCTGCCACTAATGACCCCTCACCTTCTCTTCGGGACAGGTGTGGTATTTCCTTACTTTCCACGACTGGGGCGCTACAATCTCAATTTCCACGAGGCGCAGCAGGCCTGTCTGGATCAGGACGCTGTGATCGCCTCCTTTGACCAGCTGTATGACGCCTGGCGGGGCGGGCTGGACTGGTGCAATGCGGGCTGGCTCAGCGACGGGTCTGTGCAGTACCCCATCACGAAGCCCAGAGAGCCCTGCGGGGGCCAGAACACGGTGCCTGGCGTCAGGAACTACGGCTTTTGGGATAAAGATAAAAGCAGATATGATGTTTTCTGTTTTACATCCAACTTCAATGGTAAGATCTTAACTGTACTGCCTTCTTTTCTATCCCAGAGACCAATTTGCACTACCACACTACACTTGGCTTTTAATCTTATCTACTTGAAGAAAAAAATAAAAAAGCTTTAAAGTATTGCTCTAGTTTGAAAACATATTAAAAGTTTTTGAATGTCACAATTTTTTAAAATATCCACTTAAGTCAAGCAAAGGGCTTATTTCAGTCCTTGTGGGTTTTACTGCATTCTGTTTTTATAATGAACTAGTTGAAACACACATGGCATGGGGTCTATTTCTAATTGCTGAAGAGGTTGCTGTTACTGTGTGTCCTCCATGGGACGCAGTCAAGCAAAGGGCTTATTTCAGTCCTTGTGGGTTTTACTGCATTCTGTTTTTATAATGAACTAGTTGAAACACACATTGCATGGGGTCTATTTCTAATTGCTGAAGAGGTTGCTGTTACTGTGTGTCCTCCATGGGACGCAGCACTGTCGATTGAAGTAAAAGTGCTCTGTATCAGCCATGCTGTCCCTTCCAAGCATGGGGCCCTGTGTGACAGCACAGGTTGCACATACATGAAGCAAGTCCTGGCCCCAACATTTTACATTTGAGGTCTCTGGTGACACACTGGGGGAAAAATAGAAAGGGATCAGGGGTCAACTAACTTTCTCTGTGAAAGGTCAGAGTAAATATTTTAGGCTTTGTGAACCATATTTGTCTCTGTCAGAACTACTGAAAGTACTAGAGCACAAAAGTGACTATACACAGTACTAAAAAGATAGTGTGACTGTGTTCCAATAAAACCTCATTTACAAAAACAGGTAGCTGGTCAGATTTGACTTGTGCAGTGTAGTTTGCTGACCTCTGGTGTGGATAATAGAACTAACCTTCTAGTAATGTTTCAATTGCCTTTACCCTTTCTCCAAATCATATCGTCTCAGTCTAGAAAGAACTGGCAAGCATTAATTTATACTTCAATAGCCTACATTTAATGAGCAGGAGGACATCACATCACAATGTGAAATTAGATAACAGAGTCTGATTATATTCTACCTGAAACTAAGATGACTGAGAAAATCTTCATCAGTGTGCATCACTTGTCTTTTGATGTCATATTTTATACATTTTATAAACATTTAATACATATTGAAGCAATCTCAGTAATTAACTCTGTTCAGTAAGTGGTTGATGCTAACTTGTCTTTCTTGTGAAATCAAGAAATGGTTAGGTATCAGGGCTCCAACAGATGGAAGCTGAAGAAATTAAACAAATTCATCTTCTCTGTTAGTGAGCGACCACGGGCTGGGTTTACATTCTGAGTACGTGTTATTTGCGACGAGTGACTTCCTGTATTTTATGCATTTTCGTACTGTAGTCTTTGAATGAGAATAATGTCTTATTGATACCTGTAATGAAAAGGACTTGAGGGCTTTTCAGTTTTTTTTAAATGGACTTTTATGTCAGGAATGGTTTTTGATCCTTTCACATTCAAATTTTGCCTCTCCAGAAACTTGTGCTGGGGTTCAGTCTTGCTACAGCTAGAATTTAAATAGCTCTTGCTTTTAACATGGAATTCTGTCTTCTCCAGTGCTACAGAAGGGCTTTTATAGTCACTAATTAGCTAACAGAAACTGCATCTGTCATTTCCCTTTTCTTTTTAAAGCTATAAAAGGGCATGTCTGAACACATATTAAGGGGCAAGGGAAAAAAAATTGGTTATTTAATGAAGAGCAAACTTGGGGCACTACATTTAGCTGACAATCCTGTGGGGACCGAGGGGCCTGTTTAGTATAGGGAGTGCACAGAGGGCAAAGGCCCTAAGTGCACAGAATCAGAACATTACGTGCTGAAAACAGCACACACTGGATACAGCGAAGATGTTCTGATTCATTAATAGCGAACACTGAGATCATTTTCCGTCCTGTTCACATGCTCCTTTCTGTACATCTTTTGATATTATACTCAGCTTGTTACATAGCCAAGGTCTTCATAATACAATAAAAGATGAGACAAGCCTGAGCTCGGGGCTGCACTAACTTTCTCCTTTCTTAACTGGGAATTAACTTGGTGTAGTTCCTCTGGGCCTCTCATTGCTTTCAAGTATTTGGGCTCTGAATAATTCTTGTGCCTCCATCACTGAGAGGATAGTGACAAGTGGTGCCCCATGTGAGGACACTGTACTCCACGGAACAGAGACTGACCTTCCGAAGGGTAAAAGACACGTCCGACATACATTCATGCATTCTGGTAAGGAAACAGACGACCGTGGGGTAGCCTGGGACATGTACGGGAAGGTCTAATTTAGGTCTTTTCACCCAGAGTTTTTCTTTTTTCCTCTTTTACTTTCCTTTCATGGGCACTTCACTATCAGCAGAAGTAGTGCAACATAAATTACAGCTCAAAGGTCTCTTGAAAGCAGCTAGATGTAAAGTAACTGAACACCAGCTTGTAAAACTATTCCTGGTAATTAGACAACAATGCCCTTGGTATCCACGAGAAGGGAGTCTTGATTTACAGGACTGGGAACGTATTGGTAGACGGTTAAAAAATGCTCTTGGTCCCACAAAGGCTTCTCATCTTACAGCATGGAGTTTATGTAGAATTGCCTTACAGCCAATACAAAATCCTAAAACCATAGCTAAACCAGAAAACAGGAAGCTACCCCTGCTCCTGCCGCTTCAGCAGCTTCCCCCTCCTCCTTCTGCCCCAGATTTTCCACCACTGCCACCTCCTTTAGATTTACCTCCCTTGGATTTTACTCCTATCATGGAACAATGTTTCCATGAGGGACGTCAAACTGAGGGAGAAATGTTACTTGCCTTTCCTGTCATCCAAGGTGAAAATGAAGGCCTTTGGCATGAGAGCCTTCCTTTTGCTGTTTATAAGGAATTCCAAAAACATATAATGGAAAATGGCCTCCAAAGTCCTTTTACTAAAGGAATAATAGAAGCTATAGCTGATAATTATGATATGACAGCATGGGGCTAGAAAATCCTCGTTGAAACCATATTAACAACAGCTCAGTTCAATGTTTGGCTTCAGGAATTTTGTGATGCCGCCATCACTATTTTAATGGAAAATTTAAATAATAACATTCTTATAGGTATAAATATGCTGGTGGGAGAAGGGGCTTATCTTAACCCTCAGGATCAAACTAGACTTCAGTCTCAGGTGTTTGCTCAGACGTCACAGGCAGCAGTTAAAGCATGGAATAAAATTCTAGAAACAAATACCCCTACCGGCTCTTTTGCCACTGACAGACAAAGGCCTACCAAACCTTACATAGATTTTGTTAGTAGACTTCAAGATGCTATCTCTAGACAAGTAGACAATATTCAGCTGGGAACTTGTCATTTTGTACTGGACTTCACAAATGCTTTTTTCTCTTGGCTGATAGCTGAGATCAGCTTGCCTTTGCCTAGGAAGGTAGACAATGAACTTTTCAAGTGTTGCTTCAAGTTTATCTGCATAGCTCAACTATCTGTCATGGTTTGGTGGCTGGGGACCTAGCCAAGTAGACTAGGCCCAGCACAGTTACAATGTTTCATTATATTGATGACATGTCAGCCACCTGCGCATAGGGCATCCCCTCCTGCAAAGGAGGGGGGCCTGAGCAAATTCATCAGAACTCCATTGCAAACTGTTTACAGTAGTCCCCTGTGAAGGAAATAAAATTGAGGTCTTCATAGAGATCTCCTTTGCCTGTTGCCTGCAGTGACTATTTAACAACCTTTTAGATGACTGGTGTACATACAAATTCCTTGGGGCCTGGCTCATCTTAGGGGAGTTGTAATACGTACCACCAGGAACATTATGCTTCATTTGAAGGGAGGAATGGCTCACGTTCTCCAGATGGGCTATCTCCAGATAAAGTTAAGCATGTCTATCGATTATTTTAGTGAACAGGAGCTTGGCCAGTTCCCAGAGGATAAACTTTCACAAAGTCATACAGTTGCAATTAGAATGTTGCTACTTTTGTTATTAACTGCTTTAAAAATCATAAAAGATGAAGGACTTGATTTATCCATAATGGAGGATTTAATTTTAGATGGAGCTGGACAAATAAAAAAAAAATTGTTTCTACAGAAATATGGGGGTCTTTGTCTCATGGCTCAGCAAGACTTATTTTAGGAAAATCTAGTTATTCTAGTCAAGGGATTCAAATAATACCAGGACTTATTGGTTCAGATTATAATAGACAAATTAAAGTTATGGTTACTAGTTTAGGATATCATGTCATTCTCATAGGAATTTATATTGCTTGATTTATATTAATACTGTTTATTACACCTGGACATATAAATAAAGAGAAACAAAGGGTTTTGGTAGTACTGAAGCTTATTGGGTTACAAAGATAAATAATGGATGACCCCTCCTTACTCTCACCATAAATGAAAAAACAATAACAGGTTTAATTGATTCAGGAACAGATATTACTATGATTGCTTCCAAAGATTGGATTCCCCCCTGGAAAACTTGTTCCTCTTTCATGACTATATCTAGATTGGGAGGAACACAAACCCCATGCCAAAGTAAATATTCTTTAAAATGTATAGGACCTGAAGGACAAACTGCCATTATTGCGCCTTTCATACTGGATCTCCCTGTTACTTTATGGGGGAAAGATTTACTACACAATGGGATGTTTACGTAGGCACTTCCCCTCCAAATTTATCATAAAGGCCACTGCCAAACTCCCGCCACTCAAACTGCAGTGGATTACTGGACCCCCTGTTCGGGTGGAGCAATGGCCTCTTAAAGAGGAGAAATTACAACAAGCTCATCTTCTAATAAAAGGACAATTACAAGCAGGACATTTTGAGCTCTCATATAGTCCATAGAATACTCCTATTTTTCCATCCACCCCCCCAAATCAGGAAAATGGAGACTTCTACATGATCTCCAACAAGTTAATGCATGGCTGGCCCGGTGGCGCACTGCTACAGTGCGCCGCTTGGGAGTGCGGTGGCGCTCCCGCCGAGGGTTCGGATCCCACATACAGACTGGTTCCCGCTCACTGGCTGAGCGAGGTGCGGGCGCGACACTGAGGGTTGCGATCCCGTTGCTGGTCCCGTTCTGGTACGGGCGTGACACTGAGGGTTGCGATCCGTTGCCGGACACGAAAAAAAAAAAAAAGGAAAAAAAAAAAAATTCGTTAATGCATGAATTATGCCAATGGAAGCATTAAAACCTGGGGTCCCTAACCCAGCACTTATTCCAAGAGGACACCAAATGATTATTATAGACCTAATAGATTGTTGTTTTTTTTTTTTCTTTACCATACCTTTACATGAAGATGATAAAGAAAAATTTGCATTTTTCCTTCCCAGTGTTAATGCTGGGACTCCTTTACAAAGACATCAATGAAAAGTTCTTCCCCAAGAAATGATCAACAGTCCTAGTATTTGTCAGGATTTTGTGAATTCATTCTTTACACCCTACCCAAATTACTTTTCCTGATACATTAATTTATCATTATACGGATGATATTCTTGTTGCCCGTACAAATTCAAATATACTTTCTCAAATCTACTTACATATCTTAACTCATACAAAAGAAGTAAGGCTTCAAATAGCCCCTAAAATAATTCAAAAAACAGGACCATGGAAATATTTAGTTTATGTTATTACACAAAGATCTATTCGTCCTCAACAGATTTATCTATCAAAACTCAATTAATCCTTAATGATTTACAGAAATTTCTTGGTCATATTAATTACTCCAGGGAACCTATTCATTTCATTGTCCTAAACACCCTACATATCCCTACTGGGCTAATATGCCAATTTCTTCCAAATGTAGGAGTTGTCACCTATTCCTATTCCTGATGCTTTCACTATGTTTATAAATGACTCTAAAAAGTCAGGTAACAGATCTGTTGCCTGACATGAACAGGGTTCTTGGAAATATTTCCTTACCCTTCATCATAGTTCCATACAATGAGCTGAACTAACGGCTGCTATTGCAGTTCTACATTTTCCTCATCAACCACTCAATATAATAGCTGATTCTGCTTACACAGTAGGTACTTTACAAGTTATTCAAGATGCTTTGATTCATGATGGAAATGATGCTACTCTCTTTAAAATATTTAGAATATTACAAAAATTAATTCAACGTAGAAATGATCCTTTCTTTGTAACTCATATCAGATCTCATTCTGGGTTGCCAGGTCCTCTTACAAGAGGTAATTACCAACCTGATAAATTAGTAATGTACACAAATGCTATAAAAAAGCTTTGGCTTCTCATCAATTTTTTCATCAAGGTGCTAAAACACTGGTTCATTCTTTTCAAATTCCTTACAGACAAGCTCAAGACATCACTCATGCCTGTACAGATTGTCAGAGATATTCTAAAACAATCTCCCCAGGTGACATTAATTAATCCTCATGGATTAACAGGAAATGAAATTTGACAAATGAACATTACTTATTTTGACCCTTTTGGGCAACTTAAATATTTACACGTCATTGTAGACACTTACTCAGGATTTAGTCATGCCACTGCACAAACAGGAGAAACTGTAAAACATGTACAAAAACATCTTTTTTCTTCCATTGCCACTATGGGAGTTCCAACACAAATTAAAACTGATAATAGACCTGCATTCACCTCTAAAGCTTTTCAAATGTTTTATAGAGTATGGAATATTAAACATGTCACGGGAATCCCTTATAACCCCACTGGCCAAGCCATTGTAGAAAGAGCTAATGGCCTTATCAAATCACAATTACATAAACAAAAAAGGGGAGATGTGGGAATACAGGGGCCTGTTTGGTATAGGGAGTGCACAGAGGGCAAAAGCTTTAAGTGCAAAGAATCAGAACATTACGTGCTAAAAGCAGCACATGCTGGAAACAGCGACAATGTTCTGATTCATTAGTAGGGAACACAGATCATTTTCTGGCCTGTTCACATGCTCCTTTCTTTACTTCTTTTGATGCTATACTCAGCTTGTTACATGGCCAAGGTCTTGATATTACAATAATAGATGAGATAAGCCTGAGCTCGGGGCTGCACTGACTTTCTCCTTTCTTGTGGGAGTTAGCTTGGTGTAGTTCCTCTGGGCCTCTCATTGCTTTCAAGTATTTGGGCTTTGAGTAATCCTTGCATCTCCATCACTGAGAGGATAGTGACACAATCCCATGTTCCGAACACTTTTCAGAAATTACTCCACATCCACCTTCATTGAGATGCACTTCTGTTTCTGGCTCCCTCCATCTCTGTGTAGCTCAGTCACAGACGGGCTCATTGACTCTCTCTCCCTTTCTCCACAGGCCGTTTTTATTACCTGATCCACCCCACCAAGCTGACCTATGATGAAGCGGTGCAAGCTTGTCTCAATGATGGTGCTCAGATTGCGAAAGTGGGCCAGATATTTGCTGCCTGGAAACTTCTCGGATATGACCGCTGTGATGCGGGCTGGTTGGCAGATGGCAGTGTCCGTTACCCCATCTCTAGGCCAAGAAGGCGCTGCAGTCCCACTGAGGCTGCAGTGCGCTTCGTGGGTTTCCCAGATAAAAAGCATAAGCTGTATGGTGTCTACTGCTTCAGAGCATACAACTGAGTGTGCCCCTACAGCACATCAGTTTTAGTCATTAAGAACATGTGAAAGGTTTTTTTTCAATATGAACTCATGCAAGTTACCAAAACTGTGATAACCCTTTTTTACTTACTGTAAAGAGTCATTTTCATAAAGATCAATTCATTAATTTGTTTTTGTAAAGCTATCATTCAATATATATTATAAATTAATATAATTTTAAGGGAAGCTCTACATAAAGAGGCTTTAGAGCCAAACAGTCTAAGCTATGTCATCCCAACAAAGTATTCCTTCATGAACGGGGCATGCAATAGCTTGAGAATTGCTAGGATTAAGGTAAGAATAGTAAGTAAAGCTACTCAGAGCAGCAGCTTCTACAAGCACAAATTTTACACATTTATACAATTTTGAAATGCACTATAAAAAAACAAGTTAGAGCAACAGATTTGAAATACAGTCTTCTTTACATAAACAGATTCTGAGAGGTTACACAAAATTCAGTTTCACAGGGGAACAATCTATACAATTTTGAAATGCACTATAAAAAAACAAGTTAGAGCAACAGATTTGAAATACAGGCTTCTTTACATAAACAGATTCTGAGAGGTTACACAAAATTCAGTTTCACAGGGGAACAATCTATACTTTTCTAAAAGTTAATATTTCAAGTCTCCAATAGACAAAATATTTTACTCTTTAAAAATCCTGCCTTTTTGACCAAAAAAAAGAATTTCATACGGTCATCAACGCATAGTAACAAGCACAGTTAAAACTCCTTAATAATCCCATTTATATAAAGTAGGAGAACTAAATAAGCAGATAGTATTTAACCAATGAGAGACTCCTCCCTTCTTCTAATTAAAATTCCACATGTCTGAGAAGAACTGTTTTATCTTTTGAGTAGCTTTACTGAGTTATATTTAAATTCTAAGGGCCATTTGCTAAGCAGCATTTAGCATCTACTCAGGGCAGTTACATAGATAAACTGCTGGACAGAAAAATTGTAAGATTTAGCAGCTTGATTTTATGTTAGCCTATGAAATGTTATTGTCCTATAAAATAACTTTAAACTATTTAATATTTCTTTCTTATTTACATTACAGAAAAATTTAAATCAGAAAAGGAATGATTAACTATACACTTGCCTAACCAAGAAACAAAAACCCGACTTTGAAAATTCTTATTTTTATTTGTGTATACACTAGAAAGTCCACCTGGTGCCTGTGTTTGGGGAAAAGAGTCAACAATATAGTTCTAAATCTTCCCCCAAATAGAATTATGATCAGTGATGTCTCTTTCCTTGCTGGTCATCATTAGGCTTAAATGAAATGCTGAAGCTGTCATCAAAGAGTTTACACTAAAATCTTCAGGGCTTTGAATGTAACGTTAAGACCAGCTTCAGAAAAACAACTGTCCCCATTAGCAGTTCCAATCTTTAATAAAGCTTTGTTTTCCTATACTTTCATGACTATTGATACCCCACAGGGACCAATATTTGTATTCAAATTATATTTCATGGTTTCCCATTGTTTTGCAATGAGTTCTAATAAATGGGATTTAGTATAAAAATACAACTATGACATAGCTGGTATGCTTTCATGAATGTGACTATTGATACCCCACAGGGACCAATATTTGTATTCAAATTATATTTCATGGTTTCCCATCGTTTTGCAATGAGTTCTAATAAATGGGATTTAGTATAAAAATACAACTATGACATAGCTGGTATGCTTTCATGAATGTTTTTATGTAGATTTGTCCCATGAACATGAGTAAATAAATCTGTTTCCTGAATCGATTGTGGTCGCATTTAAAGCTCTGTAATAATTCTAATAAATTTACTCTATAAATGTAGAATTATGTCTGTGGAAGGTATAGAATAATTGGAAGTCCATGAAACCATTACTATATTTGTATATTATCTAGACAAAATATTGTAAATAAAAGTAGAACATTTCTTTCCTCAAAAGCATATATGGAAATTTCCAGATACTTTAATAGTAAAAGATGACAATGTATGCATGCACATTTGAGTTAGGTTGGATATGCAAATTGTACAAAACTATGAATCCAAAGAAATTGTATTGTTTAACTCAAACACTGGTGGTATAAATAGAACTTAAACTTCCAAACTAAAAATACCTGAATGGTCTAGGATAAGATGAATATAATTTTTAAAGAGGGGACAATCTCCAAAATAACAACTCTAACCACCTCAAATATGGGGCTAGCATATTGGAGGAAGTCCACACTTGAACAGTTATTACCCATGTTAAAGAATTTTGTTGAAAATGCAAGTGAGAACAAATTTCTATTGAAGCAGGCATATAATTTTCAGCTACTGTTCAGAACTCTACCTTTATAATATTAGGTGTAGTAGCATTTCTTAACTTTTGAATACTTTACTAGTATAGGAATTGGTGCTGATCAAAATCTCTGGAGTGACTGTTAACTGATTAAAATCTATACCAATTGCACATCATTTTTCCATTCTTATAACAACAAAATCTTAACAGAATGAATACTGCTGGGCAGAATTTTTATCTTCTAATTTTGCCGAAAGGATTAGAATCCCCATGCCCTTTGGAATCCTACTTGAATAAGGAGTCTTTTTTAATACTCTCATTTTGCTGTCTTTTCCCCAAATCTCTATTTTCCTACTTCATTCCCCGAAATATCTCACTGAGAATGTCTGAAATCTAAAGGTTACCCTAGTACAAATCCTAATAGAAAGTTTGTACAATACTGGTTAATTCAGAAATTTCTCCTCAGACTTGGATTCCAAGAGTATCAGAGGGATGAAATGGGAGACTGGTTAGGAAAAGTTTTGATTATTTTGTCCATGATTAACACTTGTGACCATATAAGAATTAAGTATATCTGAAAATTTCACTGAGACATCTACATTTGAAAACCCAAATAAAAAGAAGCATTTCATATAAAAGACAGTATAGGAACATAAACAAGTTAGTCACATTAACACTGGAAGCCACCTTTGAATGACTATTGCCATATTTTATCACAGTAATTTTTAGCCAAATATGGCATTTGTAAATTTAAACTTTCTCTCATAGAATGGGGGCCAGTACCTGTTAAAGTGTTATTTTATGCAATAATATAGTTGCTTATTATTTTGGCAAATAGAAGTAGACTCCAAGGAGATTCCAATTTGGTTGCTGGCAGCCATCCTGGGTTTCTTGATATCGGTACTCCAAAGAATACAGTGGTCTCATGGAGTAGCTGACCACTAAGGAGAGAAGGATTAAAAGGGAATCACTTGTCAGTTCTTACCATAGAATGCATCGAGGAAGATCAGTGGACAACTGGCACAGTTTTGTTGCAAAGTTAACTGTATCGTAGCTCACTACTGCCAGAGCAGCAATGGTGTACAACAAAAGAAACGAAAAATATAAAAGTCATTTAGCTACCTGATTAAAAGAAAATTAATATTTAAAGGCATCTAATACCTACTGAGTATAAATTTGAGGAGAAGAACCAATCTGTATGAAAAAAAATGTTTTCATTTTCTGTAAGAAACAATGAACTGGTAAACAAACATTAAAAGTCAATTTTATGTTACTGCAGTATCTTTTGATTCTTCTGAACTGTAGAATCTTAGCTATTTTTCTGTGTCAATGGTCTAAATACATTATTTCAAAACAGACATTTAATCCATCCTTGTTCTCAATTTTTCAAATTGTAAACACATAGCAATTTCCATTTCTTAACATTTTTCAAAGTAAAAAAAAAAAAAAAGCATATCTATGGTATTGCTAAATCAGCAATGGTACTACCCCCAAATCTATTGGCTTTTTTGTCTTCATATATGATTCAAAGCATAATTTATTTTGCTTACCAGGTTAGCAATCCCAGAAATCTGTAGTGGTGTTGCTTAAAATATTTAAGATTCTTTATGGCTTCAAATGTGAGTACGGAATTAAAAGAAAGATTTTTATTTCTATAGTAAAGCTCCTTCCTCTAGCACTTTAGACTCTCAGTAACAGTAAACATATTTTCCAATATTTCCATCCTTACCCTGAATTTTCTTTTTTTTTTGTCTTTTA